AGTATTGTAATATAACGTAACCGTACCTATTATATTAAATATAAAGTATTTAATCCTGACAAGTGTTTAATTCGTAAATAGATACATAAAGTAGTGGTGATGTTTTAACAGTAGGTACATTTGAAGTAGATATCTCTCCAAATATAAAAATGTTTTATGTTTACATCAATGCCATTTCCACGTACGCCGATCTTTTTCTAAAAACAACGTATCTTGATGTCTAAGTGAATGACATTCTTACCTCTCACAGTTGCTTTATATAAATCTTCGAGTTTCATGCAGCATTGTTTTCTATTCTCCCCGGGGAAATGTCTTTCAGTAAAATGTATTAAACGTCGCTGGGCTTAGGTGTATCATTATTATCCTACCTGTCTGTCTTTTACCTACAATACATAATAATGCTTTATATTTTGTAATAAAAAATATCTGTATTTACAATACTAAAATTCCTAGAATCTCTATTTTAATAATAATGATTGTGTTGTTTCTAAAGTGAAAACGTCTTATTTATTATTTAATCCCCTATTATTACACTCGTCCTTGTCAACAGATTTTTTTCCCTATAAACAGTCTACAAACTTTGCTAAAACTTCTCATTAATCTAGAACTTCATAAAGACTGAAACCGAAAGCAAATCTCATTAAGCTCCGCATCTCGTCGTTTTAACCGAATCATCAACTTAATCTTAAACCTCACATCAATTTTAAGCATTAGCTGTAGGACGAACTATGCAGATTAATGTAAGATAATTATATGTGGTAGAAGATCGTGTAATACCAGAATGGTGTTTGTAATTATTCAGTAGTTCGTGCGAAAGCGACAGCCGATAAAATTGGATTCTATTTGTTTATAAGTGAATTTAATCCAACGTTTTTGAGTTTAATCCTGCAGAGGCGATGCTGTTTTGTTTATATCATAAATAGAGCTTGAGAAAGAAAAGAGGCTTGTTTAAATCTGGTCAGTCACGAAAAGCCACAGTAAAATGGATTTAATAAGATAATACATATAAATTAATTATTCCCTAGGACTAGGATTAGAAGCTAAAACAATCATGTTTGTACGGAACCTTCGCAAGTAGGTAAATCAATTTCTGTGTGCGATTTGAACGTTATCAATCCCTTACAATTAATGTAATTACATGTGTTGTTGTAGACATCGTGATTGGATTTGCAGCAATGAGTCAGATTTCAAATACTATTGGTTCAGTTTCTATTACATACAGTCATTTGGTAATGGTTAGATCTTGGGTTAGGCACATATTACGTATTACCTGCTCATAATAATTATTACATGTTTGTAGTCTAGGTACTCTGAGAATAAAAGTAATGGTAGATCCTGTGATTAGTTGTTTACTACAACAAATAAGTGTTTTACGGAGCTACAAACTCATATTTTTATTCTACGATCCACAACAAGCGATGAAGATTTCCTAATGTAACTTACAGTTCTTCAATACTATCTACAAAAGTATATCTGCTATTAGTAGCGCCTAATTTAAATTTAATTAGGTACTTAGTTAGCTTAACATGAATATCGGTAGGCACCATACAGGAATAAATTTCAGAAGCAGTTACTTTACTAAATAACTCGGGCGTTACAGTAGGAACCTTGTTTATTTAGATAAATCTCGGGGTAATAATGCCTTTGTGTATAATTATGTATGTTCAAAGAACATTACGGTTACCTTTACTTACTCTCTAATTAATTATATAAGAAGAAACTGGAGAACGAATACGGTTAAAACAAGATTCTATGAACAAAATTCAAATGAGACATCTTTGAAATTGTTTAGTATTTTTTTAAATTAACATCGTGGATATCGAAAAATTAGAATTATGTATCACTTACAAAATTACAATTATTTTTCTATATTGGCGTGTAAGACAATATACTGTTTTATTGTTAATAAAAGTCAGTTGTTCGTCAAAGCTACGTGGATTTTGATTTGGAAAAGTCGTCCACGTTACAATATCTTTGTTGGCCGTAAAAATGTATTCACACAATAATTTATCATTTAAAAAGCTACAATAATTCTAAACTTGCCCTTTCATCTCTTCTCACGTAATTCCTGAACTATAACACGTATGGCAGGATATTGCTATAGCCTGCTGTACACAGTACCTACGTGCAAATGTCATGAAACGTAGGTACATCTTCATACCTATCTCTTCATGATGAGCTCATTTCTCTCGAAAATAGAATATTTTATGCTTTGTAATGTCGATGATTATTTTGTAGCTGAATTCTGTTTTACTGTATTGAACAATTCAGAATCTACGAGTTACCGAAATATCTTATATCTCAAAAGCTGAAGATAATTAAATTTAATTTTCTTTGTCACATCAAGAGACATATTTCAAATCCTTATTTTTTGCAATATATTGTATTCGTTTGAATTGAATTCCGTATCCTGTCGCTATAACAATAAAAGAAAACGTAGAAAATGTTGCACTTTCAGCTCTATGTCTGTAAAAGCTCCAAGCATTTATTTGCTAGACCGACCGCTTTCCTTTTATTTAGAAGGTACCTTCTTTTATACGTAGGTTAGGTATGAATGTTAGACATTGAATTGTCACATATACTCCAATAAGTAATAGGAAACGTTTCCTTCCTTTTTATATGTAAAATGCGATAACCAATATTTTGACATAAAAAAAATTGTAAGTGCCTATACAGTATTATATTAACCTTCAGATGGAGTACGGCTGGCGACGATGTTTCGCATCCTATAACTGTCAGCTGTTTACTAAGAAATATTGGAAACGTGATGGAGTTAAAAAAATATCCCACCAAAGACATAGGCCTTATTAGATTGTCGTTTCGTACGCCCTCGTTATTGCCAACTCCAAAGCTATAAACTTATGTGAAATTGAGCGGTTTAACTTTATTATACGTTGGGGATAACAATGTTGCTGGTTCTATTTTACAACTCCGTAATTGAAGAAAACTGTGACCCATTTTAAATTATTCTGAACCAGATAGTGTCTTTATAGTCTTCTATTATTTTCAGGTGCTGGATAAAAGAATCTAGGTTTGAAATAATCCACCAGATTCCAGTAGCAGCTACTATTCTCCTTAACTTGTTCTTCCTCATCAACATAGTGAGAGTGGTGATAGTGAAGCTGCGAAGAGGTCCTGCCAATGATGGCCACGGATCAGGTGCTTCCAGGTCCTCTTTACAAGCTCTAAGGTAAAAACGAATACATACGAGTATTTCAAAGCGAAATATTTTTTAACAAAAGCTCTGATTTTGCTCAGTAAAAAAAGCCAGGGGGTACCTATAACAATGGAAATCTGTTGATGTTATTTTACTTGAGCTACTACAGCCCGGAGTTTATTTATATTAATGAAGGTTACGAAAGGGCATTTAATAAAGCTGACCCTCGTACCCTTGTTTATATGAACATATTAAAGACGCAAAACAGATCTCATTTCCATCGTAAACAAAACCCTTTTCCTAGCGGTGATTTACCCGAGCATAAAGAATGATGGGTATAAACAAAAGTCATCCTGCCACGCATGGAGTCGTACGCCAATCAGTATAGGGTATACAATAATAAATCCTATCGCCTTTCGAAAGTCTAGTAATACTGGAAATTACACGGCTGGATTTCTCCGGGGAGCCCGAGCTGAATCTGGAAAAGAGTAACTCTATTTCCATTTAAATGTATATGTATGCGTGTTGTGATGGGGGGAAAGCCCTTCTGATATTTAACCTTCTTCCATCTCGTGAGTCGAGGAGTGTGCTTGGAATTGTGAAATTGCAGAATTTCCAGAAAGCCATTCTGGAGAGCAAAAAATACATTTTCAATAAAAATGTTAAAGGCACTCATAGGAAGGAAGAGTTAAAAAAGTTATACATATATTTTATTTTTATACATCTAGTGTGTACATACTCTTTTGGTTTCACGACTATTTTTTTTAATAAAAACTAACAAAAAACCTAAAATCTTGCTATAAGTACCAACTGGCTTATTACCCCCTTATTAAAAAAAACCAGAAGTAGTTTTATTTAAGCACTCAAGAAATCAGCTATGAAACTTTCCAATTCACCCCCCGGATGTGTTATTCTTACAGAGCGACACTCCTGCTGGTGCCCCTCCTGGGACTCAACTTCTTGCTAACTCCCTTCCGACCGGAGAACGGTGGCCCTTGGGAGCACTTTTACGATTTGCTATCCGCCATCACGACGTCCTTTCAGGTAAGTGCTGAAACAGCGATTAGTAATCGTTAATTGGGGCGAACAATAATTATCTAGTCATATAAATTTGAGGGTAGCAAGGGAATGTTTGAGATAGGCAAATGGGGAACAGAGAACTGTGAACAATGAATCATGGTATAGTTGGTATTAGCTGCTATTAGGAAAAACATAAGCCATGTTATCAGAAAATATCCATGTTTAACTAAGAATTAAAAAACATAAGGCATTTAGGTTATAAACTCTGTATCGATCTGGATGATTCTTTTAACTATAAGAAATAAATCTTTAAAGAACTAATAAAGTGGCGGGTGCGCTGGTATACTGTTTCCTATTTTTATCCCTCATGTCCTTTATAAATTTGGTTCACCTATCCCTTTTACTGTGTTGTTTTACGTTTTTGATCGATTTTCTCATGTTTAACTCATATTACGTGTTTTTCTTAAAAAATGCTGCATAAGACATCTGCATAATTCGATGTCTATAATTGTTTGAGCACTGAGCTGCTATGAATAATTCCAGGCGATTTTCTTAAAAATTGATTTGTTCAACAGAAACCATTAGGAAACAGTGAATTATAAGCAAAAAAATATTTGTATAATAATTAGAAATAGTCTTCCTAAACTAATCACACTTTTATCAGCAACATTAATTTCTATCACCTTGATGGGATAGGTAGGTACCCAAACAGCCACAAAAAAGCACATATTCGGGATTAAGTATAGACGTTGATTGAATGACTGTTTATAGATATTTTCAAAATATCGTATGGTTACGATCAAATTGTAATAAAAAGAGATTTGGGCTCATGCAGGATTCGAACCTACGACCTCCAGTTTACGCATGAGGTGTAAAGTTTGGATGCTCTGACCACTGAGCTAACGAGCCATTGAATGAGAATTAGTATGACTGAATTAAGAACCGTAACTAAGATGTAACGAGGTGAATCATGCTATTATTGAAAAAATGATAAGGAATTATAGGAAGAATCTAAAAAGTCACTACTACTACTACAGTGTAAAATTAATAGTTATATTTTGCATAATTATTATTGAAATTAACGTAGTGTCCTAAGTGTCTTAGAGACAGGATATCCATTGAATACCCCAAAGTACCTATGACTCCCCTATACACCCCTATTGAATCCCTATGTTGGTTTGTTTTTATTAAAATATTCCTGGTTTCCTAGACTGAAAAATATAAAGTAAAAGGATTCCACATTTATGACTCGTTTTAAAACTGCGTTCATCTTGAAATAAATTAATTTAATGCACAAATCCAGTTTAGATTATACGAATAAGCATTTTGATTCATTGTACAGATGCTCACCCAGTACAACATAAGTAAAGTTGATCAGTGATTACGATATAGAACTTACTAGGGGAATTAATTAGCCTACTCCAACAACTGATAGCGTTTTATTTTTAGAAAAGGATTTAGGTACCTACCTGACAAATTCTAGCGAATTGGTTATTAAAGCAAAGATCTATATACGATAAAATAATTTACTAGAATAATGATTTGGAACTAGGCATTAAAGGATTACCTACCTACTATTGTATTCATGCATTGCAGGAATATTTTTATTTTATAAATCATGATTAACTTTTGCACTATTCCTATCGTAGGAATATACAGTAGGACGGTGTCCAGTAATTAAATAAAAATTTAAAAGACATGTTCTACAGAATGTATTAAATAATGATTATAAAGAAGATAAGTAGGTACCTACTTAAATTATTTTATTTTGATTTTATTACTCTACTAACATTGTTTTATAATAATGTAATTTTTCTTATAAAGCAGTGACTTATTTGCAAACGTTTAACAACACGCTTGCATGTAAAGCCAGCGCTTTTTATTGTTCTGCTTGTTTTGTAAAGGGCTAAATAGAAAATCATGCCCCTAATAATTTAATCCTGGTCTACTGCAACAAAGTGCATCCTTTATCGTTTCAGAAACAGAAAATAAGGCCGGTTTAATTTAACGAGATTAAATTGCTTGAAATAGCAAACCACTGTCCTTTTAATTAAGGTTTAAATAGCTCTCAAAGAAAATTCTCCTGGATATAATACTAAACTTGAGATAAGTGGTACGTTCTGAGATTACTCGTTTAGACAAAATTCCAGCACAATTTCAGCAGCCACTGTATAGATTTGAAAATATTTTCCAAGGGGTTTGATTTTACACAAGTTCATTCTGTGATTATTCTTAAAGGACAAAACAAATTCTACAATTTTCAAAACACTGATAGGTACCTACAAGAATAGTTATTGTGGTATTATTTTACGCAAACAGTTATACACTTATATCATCTGGATTTTGCTAGGAAACTAGGGCGATACATTCATAGTGAAGGATGTCACATAAAGCAACCGCCTAAGTTGAGTTTTACGTTCAACTCTTTTATGGAGGCGTACGAAGAACAAGTTTGTTGTACAAGACCAGCGATAAAGTAGGGAATATACTTAAATTTTTTTCGAATGTAAACATTTCCAGCGGATTTCCTGGTGTATTCAATTGCATTTCCCTTGAGGCTCGTAACCACATAGACCAGAATTCACTACTACTTGTCCTAACTAATGGATTCGCAGATTTCGCTCTTTTATTAATTTTGTGCATGTTGTTTTGTTGGGAAGTTATTATTCAGTATAGTCAATCGTTTACTGTTATTCCAAAACAAATTTACTCATTAATTACCATCAGTTTATAATCATGGTTTTAAAGCGACATCACGACGGATTTCCTAGCAAGTGTGCGACTTTGCTGAATTGCATTTTTGCTGGTCTCGTGATGAATTAAAAGTAGATCGTGGCTACAATAACAATAACTGATTATGTTTTTTCCCATAGGTACCTAATTTACTTAATCCTTGTATAAGCTATAACTACTCCAGGTGTTCTGGTTTACCAAAATCTATATTTGCCACGGCCCGACATCCCTTAGAAGTAACAAAACCCTATAAAAAACCGCGCTTACGCCTTTTCCAACCCCACCGGCTATTTACTTTAATAAAGCCTCAATCCCTGTCCAGAAGGGATCCATTTGGCTCTTCCGCTGTTAATTGACCCTTTCGTTTTTATCCACCACCGCTTTACTTTCCAGCCACCGACCGCCTTAAGTGGCCATGCGGTTTGTGTCTTTTCCAGTGTATTGTTTTCCAGTGTCCAAGTACAAAATTTACATCGTATAAAAAAATAAACACAATTATTGTAAACACGCTTTACTATGTTATTTAAGTAGAATTAGACACGGTTAGTTTATTCATTTCCCGTGGGAAAATAGATATTTCCCATACACATGTATTTTCAAACATCAAATAAATTTATACATATTATTTAAGTACTTTATTTTTCATGACATATGGGTCGTTTCATAGTATTACCACGTATTACGAGCCTCACGGGAAATACAAATGAACACATGAGGAAATCCGCTTTTCCATTATAATTTGTCTCTCTCTTTTTCTAGTTTAAGTACACATTTCAGTAAACTCAAACGATAATATTAAAAGCATGGAACATTATAGTCGCTTGAAAAATTGATGTTTTTGTTAGAAAAATAACTAGTTCTAATTTGTTTATAACAAACAAGCAAATGTGTACCTATCGGCATTAAAATATGCTTCCAATTCTTTATTCTTATACACAGAATGTTTTTGAATTATCTCGCAAACTATTTCCAGATCTGTAGAATTTCTGGCGAGTAACCTCAAACGCAACATTAACTCAAGTGTAGTAAAAAGAAATTTCTCTAAAAGCTGTTTGAACTGTAACGTTGGTTTTGCTATTTCAAGCAACTTTTATCCCTTTAAATTGAACCGAACTCAAATTACAGCGGCCGCATTTTGTTGCACTGCACAGGACTATTTATTACAACCAGGACGTTTCAGGAAACAGTGAACAGGTTATTCCTTAAGCTGTATCCGCCAAGAAGTTTTTATACTGAAAACTACGATCTTAATAATATCTGTATTAATATAGCAAGAAATTATTTCAATAGCCTTGTAGATCCTTTAAATTAATATTTGATACCTACCTAACGATTCTGCTATTCAGAGCGATTATTTGGATGCCTACCAGCTGGAGCCCAATTAACAAATGACATCCTGTTGCTCCTGAACTCTTAAATAATTATCCTGGTAAACACTTGTGCGAGTGTCACGGGGAGAGCAAAACAAACACCAAAAAAAATTAAAAGTGTTTACTTTTAATTAATATTTCCAGCCTGTACTGGGAAAAGCAGAATAAAGGTTGACAAGCTGTGTTTTAAGTGAGAAATGGGAATGGCGGTGGTGGTAGAAAATAAAGATATCATTATTGCAGTTTTTTCTGTGTTCTTGTGTAGGACCTGTTTAATTTTCTGCGGTATTTGTGCGCACAAATACCGCATTTTGTGTTAGCTCGTTAGGAATGTTGGCTATAAAGTTACTTTTGTCGTCGTGGGACTGTGAAAATTTGATCAAATCAAAAAGCGGAGTCCCGGCTAATCCGCCATTTCATCCTCCTTGTTCCTTGGTCCCATAGGTGACGGCCTGCTTTACCTACCTCCCAAATTAGACCTTTTGTGTAAAAGCCATGAAAAACGGCATCGCTGGGATTCTCGTCGTGCAGCTCAATCATTAGCCTGATAAAATAAAGATGGTCCAACAAGGAGAGTATAACCAAAGGCGCTAAATGTGAGGGTTTTTGTCAACAGTCACAAGTTGCTCTTTTTTTCTATAGTAGCAACATAAGTACTTCCCACCCTTTTTACTGTAAAATGTAGAAAATATCAGTTTAATAATAATAACTCACTTCCACTTCAAGGGACGCTCGTCTAACCTGAAGTAAGCCAGGAAAAACCTAAATTGCCGTGGAAGGAGCACTTTCTTACATTTTTAGACGGGCACTACTATCAGCTACGTAATAAATCCTTATTGTGGCTTTAGGGTCGTAAAACGTTTTTATTGTCACGGCTGCGACTTTCCGAGTAAAATTGCGTGGCGACAACGTCACTACTTCACATCAAACCGAAATAACATCCGGTGATAAAAATTAGGAATTGGTTTTAAAATTTACACTCGGCAGGATATGATAATATCTCTTTCCCTAGGGTAATGATTATAGATTAGTACTACAGATGCAGCTTTGTTATACTTTGTTTGCTTATAAAATAATTAATAAGATGTTTATTTTAGTTGAAATTTCAAACAGAATACGACAACGAAATCCAATTTAACCTGTCCTGTACATTATTAGGAGTTTTAATATTCGATATGAAAACTTTATGTACTGGCGAATACCACCAAAGAGGCTGAATTCCCCTGTTATTATTCCGATATTAATAACTCCAGAACATTTTAATAAGAACCGATTAATTCCTTTGAAGTTTTAAGAAAAGCTCAGTATTGCGTTACTAATTCTTCGTTATTTTTCAGGGTCTTTGTGTGGCCATCCTCTTTTGTTTCTGTAATGGCGAGGTAAGTACCGCTTTGCTCCGGTTGATGAAATATAATGCAAAATGTACCTCAAGTTTCCCTAGCTTTATTCGGTAATTACAAGGAGGAGCTCTGTTTAATTTCAGAGTAGACAGTCTTCTAGTTCTATATCATGCCCCGTTTGTGTATTCGCAGAACTTTGAACTATCATCCAATAGTTTGCACTTCAAGTCAGCTGGATGGATATTAATTATTGAATTAATAAGTTGGAAAGTAGTAAAAAGGAAATAAGAGAAGACGTCCGGAGACGTTTTAGAAGACATCTTTCAATCACTTTCTAAAAAATTCTAGATTTACTTAGAATTTTGAAAAATTTCATATATGTAATGTCTTTGATGAAGTGTGCCTAAAAGTTAGACTTGAAGTAAAAGTATTCTAAAACGTAAAATTCTGATCCTCAGATAGAAAA